TATGCTGACAAGCTGAGTACAAAGCGGGCGTACTACGCTTCCACATTCTAAAGACGTAAAGTCTAGTGAGGATGTGAGTATGGCGGTAAAGCTTCCATCAATGTTTGCTCACGGTCGAACAGGGGTCGCTACTAATGCCTATGACGATGTATCAGCTGAAGAGAGAGCCCTGGCTCAAGTAAGAACGACTCACACTCGGTGATCACATGCGATGGACAGAGTGGGAGGTTTACTTACATCGACCGTCCTGTTCACGGATATGCGTTGCACTCCAGAAACGCTGGACGGTGAACAGGAGTGCTTACCACGGCGCGTTGAGATCCTGTCTAGAAAAGCTCTCTATCACAAAGAACCAGAGACCATGCGCGGTGATCGCTACGCTAAACGTGCATAGCAACTTGCAAAAGCGAAGCACTCAGCGAGGATGTTTCGTGTATCCTCGCGCCCAGCGTACCATGCGATGCCGATCTATGAGATGTTGCGTTGATTAATCCGGGAATGATTGCATGGAGCGGCTCTCCCTACTTATGCACACAATGAATGACCATGGATCCCCGCCCCTACCCCGGGTATCATACCGCCACGGGAGGGAGAACAAGTCGCCGTAGAAGCTACGACCGCGGTCAGCGAGCAGCGCCAAGAGTTAGCTGAATAAGACTAAGACAGACGTACATTGCCTGAACGACGCATCCTACGAGGAGCGCGCCCAAGTTCATCTCTGGCATCCCTATCATAGTCGTAGCATCAGGGGAAGAACCGAAGGGATCAACCTCGCCGGCATCCATGATAGCTAACAGAGAGGGTTCGCGGAGAGCGCAGACAATGACGGGGAGGGGAAGGGGTATGACACTGTCGTGCCCACCAGACCTACGACGGAAGGTGGGGAGCCTGAGGCGCAGAGCACGGGTCGAGGGCCCTCGCATGCCCAAATCCGACACGACCGCGCGGAAGAGCTAGTGTAGACCGGGCTGCCGAATTCATCCGCGCCGGGTCACAGCGGACGCACCGCGGAAGACTTATGCATGTGAAGGTTCGCACCTGTCAGACAGGGAAAACGCCGGGATTTCTTGCGTCAGTATATGAGCGGCCACGGTACGTTGGCCATAGATATGGGGCAAGGGACACAGGCCCAAGGTGTTCCGCGCAGAAGAGTGGTAGTGGCAGATAATGTTTGGAGTTGACCTCGAAAAGAACCCGGGTACCTTGGATGTTCTACCACGCACCTGAGCAATATGTTGCACGATATATTCCGAAGTGCGACAGGCCGCTCCGAGTCGATGTGCGAACGACTGGGGAGTATATCGGGGTGCGAGTTGGTGCGGAAGCTGAAACGTAGTTCGGGATACACGGGCGCTCCGGACACTGCCACCGGCGGAAACAGACTCGTGCGCCTCACGGATGGCGGACACAAACCTGCAAGCCGCACTTGCAGGTGACCTGGGGAGGGAAGACTCGTTGTGGACGTTTCATTGCATCGTCAAATGGAAAATCCTCAAATCTCACGCAAGTAGGACATCCAAGGTGACGTTACCCGGTTCCCACAGCGTAGGTTGCCCAGGCAAAGAAGCCGGACCACTGTCCCCACGGAAGCGCGGGATTTATGAGAGGGTTTCTCCTGTCTCTAGGAGGACGGAGCGACGCACCGAGGTTTATGAGAGCACAGTTACGTGGATGTGAGAGGCTTGTGAAGTGTCGACAGCAGGCGTTAAGGATTCCGCCCAATTGGCGGCGGTATACGTAGATTCACCCTGCACAGGACTGCACGGCATTAGCAGAGAGAGGCTGCGCCCGGCTTTGTGGGAGGCGGATGCGCAGTCCGGACCAAGGACAAGACGCCTGAAGGCGCGCGCGATCGACTCGGACGAGCAGCACGAGAGCGTTCGTCGGAAGGTTGTGAGCTGCGGAAAGACGCGGGACTGTCATAAACAACGGAACAGCGTGGAAAGCGGACAGCCAATTGTGGTACTACTCGCTAGGATAGGTGGACGAGGAGAGGAGATGGCGACGAGAACGGCTGCGCGTGCTAATTGTAGCTGGGCGTTGTGGTTGTTACCCAGATACCAAGGCAGAGAGCTCAAGGACTCGACAGACTTGTGAGACAACTGAGACGAGGATGCCAAGCCGGATATCCGTGTAGGAGTTCAGGAGAGGTTGGCCGTCAAGCATTCCAAGCGGCCCAAGACGCGCACGGGGCGTCTTTGGTTGTGCGGGGAGATCGGCATGCACCACAATAAGCGTCGCAGCAGTTTAAGAATATACGGATCTACCGCGTTGGCAGAGTCGCTGCGGATGTGCAGGTGCGAAGATAGGGCTGGCAGTGCGTCCGCTGAGTGCTCAGAGGCTGGCAGCAGAGGCAAGGCGACGGTCGAGGCCAGGACGGGCGGGGGAGGAGAGCCGGGAGTGTGGACTGGGCCGACGGCATGCAGCCCGAAAAGGCGAGAGGCGGGCTTGGCGGGGGCGGCTAGGCGGCTAGTGCTACGGCTGCGGAGGGCGGATCGGGGACTAAAGATCGCACAGGCACACGGGCGCTCGCACGCTTTGTTCTCGTCGCCCACCCTCATCGCTATCCTCTCCCCGCCCGCTGCACGCCTCTGCCGTCCTCCTCGTCGCTCTGCTTGCCGTGCTGGACACACCCCACGCTCTCTCGCACCGCCTTCCCGCTTGACGCAAGCACAGCGCCCGCGCAGACGCCTCGCGAATATCCACGCACTCCAAGGCCCAGCTGCGCCCCGAATTACTCATCGGAGCATCATCATCCTTGGCCCCGCGCTGTGCGCAGCTCCTCGCGTTTTCCTACTTCAACTCCTTCCGCTCCCTCCGCCCCTACCTTACCTTCCGCCGCCCCCTTCTAATCTCCTGCACGCCCCGTCCCGCTTGCCACGGTCATGCATCTCCTGCCTCACTCGCTCGCGCTCTCATGTCTGCTCTCGCTTGCATATGACAACGTCCTTGCTGCGCCGCCACCGGCCTCATCACCACTGTCTCGTGCTATCACCCTTCAACGAAGGGAGCGTCCACAACGCAACGCCACAGAACTTACCGCATGGCTAAACCGTCAGAAAGCTATCCTCGAGGCCAAATACAGCGGCAACTCCCAGCGCAAGCGCGCAAGTGGCCTCAACCTGTATGCCTCCCTGTACCCTCCTTGTCTACACCTCCTCACTAACGCACACACAGTCTGACGAACCAGAACGCAGACTCTAGCTTCTACGGCTCAATAGCAGTCGGCACACCCGCTATTTCCTACAATGTCATTCTTGACACAGGCTCCTCGGACCTATGGCTCGCTGCCTCGGATGGAGTCTCGACATCTTCAGGCGGTATACCCACCTTTGATTCTTCAGGTACGTGGGTCAGCTGCGATTACCCTGCGCATCCGCTCATCCATGTCCTTAGCATCGTCAACATTCACCGACCTGAATACCAGCTTCTCAATAAGCTATGGATCGGGTGCTGCGCGAGGCACGTTGGGGAAGGATGTTGTCCAGTTCGCTGGCTTCGAGGTTGATTCGCAGACGTTTGGTACGTCCTCGCCCACATTTTCCCACATTGTAGCCACTGACGGATGCCCCTAGGTGTCGTGACGCAAGTGTCGAACGATCTCCTCAACGCTCCAGTCTCCGGCCTCATGGGCCTCGGCTTTGCAAGCATCGCAGCATCGGGCGCGACGCCTTTCTGGCAGGCGCTCGCCGAGAATGACGGCACGCTCAGCTCTCCACTCATGGCGTTTCAGTTGACACGTTTCGTGGACACGCCAAGCGCAAGTTCCCTCGAGCCCGGAGGAACGTTCAACCTGGGCGCCGTCAACAACTCGTTGTTTACGGGTGACATCGATTACCAGGACATCCCTAGTGGTCAGGAGGGCTACTGGATACAGCAGCTGTCAGGTAAGCTGCAATATGTTCGTGACTGCATCCCGACTATGAGCTCATCCAACCACCCCAGGGCTCACCGTAAACGGCAACTCCGTCTCCCTGCCCTCGGGGTCTGGCGCCTACGCCGCCATTGACACTGGCACCACTCTGGTCGGCGGCCCTCAAGACGCCATCTCGGCACTGTACGCTCAGATCCCGGGTGCCGCGGCGCTCTCTGGGAATGACGGCTACTGGAGCTATCGTACGTCGTGCCTCACTCGCATGGACCCGCTTCGCATGAGCTAACGCGATCGATGCCCCTCCCAGCCTGCAACACGGATGTGAACGTCACGATGCGCTTCGGCTCCAGCACCATCTCCTGGCCGATTTCGAACTCGGACTTCCTCCTCCAGCAGCTCTCGCAGAACACCTGCGTCGGCGCGTTCTTCTCGCTCAGCACGGCGGGCACGAGCGCGCCGCCGTGGATCGTCGGGGACACGTTCCTCAAGAACGTCTACACCGTCTTCCGCGCGAGCCCCGCCTCGGTCGGCTTCGCGCAGCTCTCGGACACCGCGCTCGCGATGAACGGCAAGACCGGCGCCGTGCCCTCGCCCACCGTCGGCGCCGTCGCGGCCACCGTCAGCGGCTCCTCCGCGAACTCGGGCACGGACAGGTCCTCGAGCCCGAACGGCGCGTCGCTCGGCGCGGGCGTCTCCTCCCTCGGCATGTGGGCTGCGGCCCTTGGGTCCGGGATCCTCGGGGGCGCGCTCATGCTCTGAAGCTCTGTGACGACGATGACGACGATGGCTGCTGCCGTGGCGGATCCCAGGTTGGGACGTGCAGGATTCTGCGGACGCTGTATTATTAGCTCTGGTTGATTGCTTGGCTGGTTCGCCTGTGACTTGCTCTTGAGACTGCAGACTTTGCACGATGCTTCATATATACGCGGACGCTACACCATAGTACATAGCATACCATTGAAATGATGACGAGTTCATGCAACAAACATGGGGCGCTCACTCGAAGTGCACTGGCCTGCTTCCGGTTCGACTGCGAACATCAGCGCTCGCCTTTGGTATGGCAATGAGAGGGGAAATGGTGGACTGGCACAGTACTTGTGCATGGAGTGAAAACAAAATGCAAACGCTCTCTGTCGGGGAGTCGAACCCCGCTTTCGCGCGGTCACTGGAAATTGGAATGACAGGCGCGTGTACTAACCGATATACTAACAGAGAGTTGCTACAGTTACAGTTGACTATGCTGAGTGTGGCATAAGGTTTGAATTTCTAAGGAACTCCCTTTTCCGAGTCCGTTGTGCAGTTGTGCTCAGCCTATGACTACTTTGCGCCGTAGACATTTTGTTCAGTACAGTATCAGTGATACCCCCGGACGCTTCCCGACTAAGATCGGTGATTCTATTCGTTGAGCACAGTACCTCACGGTTGTGTGTACGAGGGCACCCTCACTAGTACTTACCTCATTCCGTGATATCCTACTACCTTATATACTGCCGGCATGCCTCCCGCTACTATAAATCCCCTACAGCATCGACATCACACGTACTTCAGAGCACGAGGGGTGGGCGAAGCCTTGACTGCTCCCCCGAAAGTACCTACCGGGTTCCCCCTTCGGACAACGAATATTCTACCCTAGGAGGCCGCCATGGAATTTCACTTCGACTCTATATGGGGACGACGGAGGAGCTCGAACGATACTGCCCCGGAGGATACCACCCCGTAGTCATCGGGGATATGCTCGATGCTGAGCCCGGCCTGGCTCCCCCTCAAAGGCGGTATCGGGTGCTTCACAAACTCGGCTTCGGCTCCTATGCCACCGTCTGGCTCGGGAGGGACACTCGTACGAGGTATGGGGTTTGTCCGACGCGGTTGGGCGAAGACCGCTCTGATGCCGCTCTGTTCGATGTAGTACTTTCGTTGCGCTCAAGATCACAACGGCGGAGCCCGGGGACGGGCAGTCGCAGGAGGCGCAGATGCTAAGCATGCTCGCTTTTCGGTGAAAGACAATGATCGCAGTCGCGTCGTCACGCTGCACGACCAGTTCACCATAGATGGCCTAAACGGAACGCACCATGTCCTCGTTATGGACGTCGTGGTACCTATACTTTCTCTGCTTGAATCCTCTAGCGGACCAAGTTGGCGGAAGTCCGTAGCGCGGGATATAGTTCTCGCCGTAGCACAGATGCATCGAGCTGGCATCAAACACGGGGGTGTGAATTGGCCTTACTGTCTTCAACGTGGCTCGCAAATGACCGGATACGTGAGCTTAGACTTACACCTAGGAAACCTTGGGTGCGCTTTCCCTGAGCTCAACCATCAATCAGAGGACCACGGTTTGCAAGATCTAAGCCCCTACGAGATCACCATCGTCTTGCCGAGCGACCCCTCGAAACAAACGTCTTCGCTGCCGCCCTATGTCGTAGCGCCATACGATTTGGGCAAGGACGCGCGGCGTCTTCGTTCTGAAGAAGCGCTCCCAGAGGTCAAGATTATAGACTTCGGTAGCGGTAAGTCCCCTACGACGGATTGTGTATGGTGACGCTCATTCAGTTAGCTCGCGGACTTGAGGAGCCCGCGGCAGGTGGGGGTGTGCGATGCGCCATCGAAGCGTGTGCCCCAGAAGTCGCCTTTACCCGCATCGCACTGAACAACATGGATCCACAGTGGGGTCCAGCAGCCGATGTCCGGGCGGTTGGTGCTATGGTCAGCCAACGGATCGCAGCGGAAGGGCGGGGAACATTTACCAGCGGTTTCGCCGTATAGTTATACGAAATTGTGTCCGGCTCGCCCTTGATTTCTCGGTGTGGGTTCGGAGATGGGCTGCTTAGGAGAATGGCAGTACTCGCCGGCGCGCTGCCAGTCGACTGGCAAGCGTACTGGCAGTCGAGCCCGTGTCTTCGCAACATATGTGAGCCAAGCCTCTACTTAAACGTGTGTCCAAAGCTGAATGCAGTCCTTGAGCGGTCGGAGACGAGACCGTTGAAAAATGGAAGACGCGACATCAGATGCTCCGTCCGGGATGCGTAGACGACATGGAGGCGAACGCCTTGGTGGGATTGCTGCAGAAGATATTGGTGCTTGATCCAGAGAAGAGACCGTCTTTGGAGGACGTGTTGAAGGACCCCTGGTTTGCCAAGTCATGACGGTCGTTATATCTATCAGCGGACACATTCCATGCAGTATGTTCAAGCTCCCTCAAGGTACCCCAGCCTTCATGAGCCACAACGAGACGTGAGGCAGTCTCGATCGCTCGATAACCTCCCTTCTCCTCATCAGCTTCATGTCTACTAGGTATCGTGGTGAGTACCAGTCATCCAAGTGAGCTGAGCGTACGCCAGTGAAAGACAGACCTACCTCATCGTCAACCACAGACGAGCGACATGCACACGTACGCGTCAAAAACCGCGAATTCATCGGGACACGCTGCTGCTCCGTTGATAGATTCGCCCGAAGCCGCCCTGCACGTCCCGATCACAGTGCCGTCGCCGTTATGAATGTACACGTCGAACCCGGCGCCGTTGTTGTAGAAGTTCAGCTGGGGCACGCCGCAGAGGTCCCGAACAGAGAAGGCAATTGCTGTGGAATCCACATCAGGGAGGTCATCGATGAGAGGAGCAGCTCGCCACCCCAAGCAGGAGTAGTGGTTAGACGGGACCGCCTTCGAGGCGAACCCTTTGCCGCCGTTCGTGCCATTGAAGATGTGGAAGTCGGCAACGACAGAAGGTGCGACACCAGCGAGGAGAGAAAGTGCTGCTAGAGCGAGGCGTCCGCTACGAGCGAACATGTCATCCCTGGGTTGACGGTGCGGATTTCACTGCATTGGGGTGCACTCCAAGTCGAGTTGCACCATGATCTGGTGTTATGTACACACCTCGGGGCGAGAGAGCGGTCCCAGAGCCGCCTTCCATGCCGCTTCTATGCTCGTAGTATCGAAGACGACAGTCGGATAGAGTAAAGCGGCTACCTCAGGGTACTTACGTAGGACAGGGGGCTTTGGGCGGGTGTGGAGGCGGAGAGAACCTGTAGACATATGCGTGCGGGACTGCCAAGTGCGATAGCCACTCTGACGAGGTCCGTGACATGCCCAACCGTGCTGTGGGGTTATTGGAAATTGCGAAGACTATTGATACACTGTACGGAGACATGCGCGCTGTTGTGTACAGGATTTTGAGCTTAAGGGCGCTTTGTAGTACCTACGGATGCAGCAAACATCAGCCTCCGTTCTATCGTCTATCGCAAAACAACAGGGGAGTTTTTTGGACTATACCTAGGTGACTGTGACCGGGTTATTACACCGTCCAATCCAGATCTCGATCGCCTGCCCTCCCGCGCCCGCCCTTTGACCAACCTGCTCGAAGGTTATCCCGATCTCCCTTACCATATCCCATAAGGTCCGTTCGGCCGCGTCGCGCTCTTTGTAACCGAGGATTATGATGGGAGTCTTGTGTGGAGAAGACAGTCGGATGAGGGAAGACAGTGTCCTGACGAGGGAGGGGAACGACGCGGTATTGTAAGTCACATCCGCCATGACGATCGCGTCGAATCCTGTGTCGACCGCGGCGACACGCTCGGGAAGTTGTTCGTCATCCCAGTCAAGGACGAGTGGTTGCGGCCTTATTGCCGTCGAGTCGTATAGTGATGCATTCGCAGAAACATTGTGCTCCAGCAGAGGCATTGCCGATCCTAGCCCGTAGTCAGCGCGAGTATGCTTGCTTCCAAGAACAGTACGGACCGAGATCGGTCGTCAGGATGCATCCCGTTTTGTTATGCGGTAACGCTGAACGTAGAGCCCCGAGCGTTAATGATACAATTCCAGTCCCAGCTCCTAGTGACTAGAAGTGTCAGGATCGAGTTCACGCACAAAGGCCACTCTCCGCACCGAGCTCAATGATCTTGCCATTCCCGGATGCGAAGAGGGCATCGCGCGCGCACAACTTGGCGACACTGTGTTCTCCGTCTGGCGGCGGCGATTCTTGAGCCAGTTCTACGAGCCAAGAACTCAAGCCAATGCCGCTATCCCATATTTTCTATCGTGACGTCTACGCAATTGGTGAGCTGCCTTGGGGCTCGGATATCGCGGCGCCGAACCTTGTCCAAGTCGAAAGACGTTTGCTCTCTGATATTCAGGAACCCGTTCTCGCCGGACTGCAGAGGGATCCTGTACACTCGTTCTATTTGTTCTTGCTTCTCTGCTCCGCTTCCTGCCTTCCCTCGCGAGCTGAATAGAATAGGCATGGACAAGACCGGGAATGGTCTTGTTCCAATGTCCTGCGCAGCAAGGTTGATGATATGCGGGCGACCTTGACCATGCGCGGTGAGTACGAGTCGATACGACTGTCCGTCTCGGAGGCCTTGGGGCAGCGGGACTGGAATCTCCTTGTACGCGCTACTCTGTCGCCAGACAGTCAACTTCTGCGGCACCGTGATGCTTGGGTATGGTTCGGCACGTTGGGGGGTCACGGGCGACCACGAGTAGTAAATGTCCTGGGCGCCATCGAAAGGTTCCGTACGCAGGTCATTGGACACCTGCGGGGTGATGGATATCGAGCCCGATGGAAATGACTGGGTTGCTGGGGGCCGCAAGAAGGAGATGTAGAAGAACATGTGCCTCAAGTGAACGCAGTGAATTGAGAGCGGCGGCGGAGAGTACGTCGCCTCTCGGCGAGCGTGAAGGCAGGAGGCAAGCACAAAAGCCGAGCACACGCGCGCCTCCTCCGAGGACGTAGCCGGCGATGCTTTGGACCTTACGCTCACCCAAAATCTGGGCTCTGCCATGCCGTCCTCCACAACGCTCCTTCTCATTCACTCTAGGGCGACGATTACCGCGTGTACTCGCTGAAGGTGCACCAAAGCCGCCTGTGTTCAGGGAAGAAGTCGCTAAGGCGAGGGAACTGCCCTCATTCACCGACGCGGTTCGCAATGTGCCCGTACGCAACCAGATCCTCGTAAGTAGCTCAGCATTACGATATCGCATGTACTCATATTCTCGTGTCGCTAGTTCTTCATTGCGGGCAGCGTTGGCGCCTTTGCATTGGGAGCGCATTTGACCAACTACGAGTTGTTCAAGTGGTGGGGATATATCGTCTCAACGCCTCAGGCCGGACTAAGGAGCAGTCAACCACCAACATCAGACGAGCTTGCTAGGGCGAAGTACTGGGCATTCGGCCGGGTATGTTCATCTTGTTCATATGTGGAAATGTTCCCCATACGATCGAATA